TTTTTTCCACCGACATTTAGACTGTGAGTTCAAGGTGGAGCAGATGAAATCAATTATTGGAAATTTAAAAATAAACTTTTGGTTTTCAAATAAAAATTAGGCTAGTTATATTTTCCATGGTGCAATATTTTAGGTTAAAAAAAAAGTAAAAAAAAAAAAAAAAAAGAAGAATCAAATCAATGTTTCTGATTAGTTGGTTGATCCATTCAAGCTGACTGGAGGAATTTTTTCCTCCAGTCAGCAAGATGAAGCAAGATGTAGCTAAAGTTGAAGGAAGAAAGTCTGCAAAACACTTTATCCAACAGCAGAGGTTACCTTTCAACAGGTCATACAGTCATAGCTGTCATAGTATAGTATGGCCATGGCAATATCCAGACCTAAACCCTCTTAAACATCTGTGGCAAGATTTTATCATTGCTATTCAGAAATGCTCTTTATTCAGTCTGGAAACATTTTTGCCTAAGTTAAAACAAACAAACAAAAAAAAAAGAAAAAAAAACAATAGAAGCTTTTAAATGGTAGATAAAAACAATTATCAGGCAACATGTTAGCTGAGCCCCCATAATGATCAAGAGCAAGAAATGTTAAGAGGGTATGTTCTAAATGGATCAAAAGTGCAGTGCAGTTGTGATGCACATAATGATTCATCAAAAAAGCCCCTTTTGCAACATCTGGACAACATAACATCTTTTTGATCTCTCTCTTTCTCTATTTCTCTCTCTCTCTCTCTCTCTCTCTCTCTGTCTGCTTGTCCCATTCTCTCTCTCTGTTTTCTTTCTCTCTCCATCTCTCCCTAGAATAGAACAGAATGGAATAGAATTGTACCATATTGCACAAAGAAATTAGGATGACCCATTATTTCACTGGATCTCAGAAAATGATGGATTCAAACATCCAAACACAATGAAAAATCTTAAACGAGAAGGAGCAGCAAAAAAAAAGAAAGAAAAAAGATTTATTATGCAACTATGGATTTTTGCTAGATTTGCATTCTATTCCTCCCCTTATGAATCACAGCATCAGCACAGTAACTTACTCCTAAAAAAAAATATATATATTCCTAAATAAGGATAAATTCAAGTAATTTCGTCTACCCTGATTTTGCATTAAAATGCTCAATAGATGGATGGATGGATGGATGGATGGATGGATGGATGGATAGATAGATAGATAGATAGATAGATAGATAGATAGATAGATAGATAGATAGATAGATAGATAGATAGATAGATAGATAGATAGAAATTTCAAGACATCCGTGGAGTCTGCTGACATCTTGTGGATAATAGTAGGTATTACAAGCTCAACCGTGTTCGAATAACCTACTCTGTCACTACAGGGTTTAGTAGATTTTATTTCGGTCATTCTGAGTTTGAGGCTTTACGAGAATACATAAATAGAAAACATATACTAACTTTCTATTCCGAACCTTTGTAGTCATGTCTAAATTGATTCCATGTTACTTACAGAGAGCGTCTCATTTTTGTCTTCTGTCATTGATGTAAGTCTTGACGCGCTTACGTCAGGTGTGCGCCACATCTTCAGGGCTCAAAGGAGACGGAAGTTCAGCACAGGAGCACCGACGTTAGCTCGTTTCTTCGGGCTGTGTGTGAGAGCTCTGTTATCCTTTCCTGGAAATTGGGGTGAGCAGTTTTACCTGAGGGGTTCTTGTGGGGACAAAAAGTAAAGTAACGCTTCGACGAACAAATAACACCGTCTTACTCTAAATCCTAGATAAGGGGACTACAGAAAAGGTGTGTGAAATATAAAATAAAGGTATATAATTAATTCTCCTCCTTTTAGCGGGTGTCAAGCTTTTCTTTTTCTGCTCTAAAGTTACATGGATTTTGGGGTTTGTGACTCTTATTTATGAATTAAAAAAAATTGACCCTCAGCTTTGCTTATATGTACACAGGCTTCATCATCATGTCTCCACATCCTGTAATACAGGCACTCATTGACTTTTCAGCAGGAGCAGCAGGTGAGTTCATTATTTTCTTAAACCTTCATTCTGTTAATTAAAGGCATATCAGTCAAATTAGACTACATATTCATGTTTTTTAAGGATCAGGGCTGCAGAGATCTACAGTTGGGTGATAGAATGGTAATTTTGGCCACTACAAGTCTGGCTTTTATGATATAGCTGCAAGAAAAAGCACTTGTTGAAAGAAACCAATGAGCTTTCATTTGGAGTTTTCTACAAGTCACTACAAAGAGGAATGGGGAAAATCTCGGTCCCTAATCACAGTGAAAGGTGGTTCTACAATGTATTTACTCAGGAGAGCTGGATACAAATGTGTGCCACACACACTTTTCAGATCTTTATTTGCCAAGACATGTTGTGTGTTGATCTGTAATATAGAAGTCCAGTATAATACAACTGCACTTGAAAATGTCCTAGCCATATTTATGTATACCCTAATGGTGAAGTAGAAAATGTTTGTTCTGCTTTGTAAAACTAAAACTGTCCTACTTTAGGTGGTACAGCCTGCGTGCTAAGTGGTCAGCCATTTGACACCATCAAGGTGAAGATGCAGACGTTTCCCAGCATGTACCGTGGCTTCATCCACTGCTTCATTTCAACTTTCAAACAGGTGGGACTTGGTGGTCTCTACAAGGGCGCCACACCAGCCCTCCTGGCCAACATCAGTGAGAATGCGGTTCTGTTCTTGAGTTATGGCCTCTGCCAGGACGCTGTCCGTCTTTTGTTAAGGATGGACAAAGGAGCAGAGCTCAGGTTTGATACTGATTAGGATTTCTGTTTCTTTTATTGCAACTAAAAGTTTCACTGTGGAGATTTGTTCATCTGTTAGGCCACCACATAAATGATTTGTAAAGTTTTAAAATCTGTGCATTTTGCAGATCTCTTTGAAGAAGTACTAGTATTTGTTAAGACATTAGGTACACAATATTTCAGATAATTTTGTCTAGAAGACTAGTTCCGCTTTGTAGTTCTGCTTATTCCTTTATTCTTCCAAAAGTAAGGAAGAATCCTTTCCTCCTCTATTTTGGAAGAAAGTATTCTTCTTGAAATCTAGAACAGTCTTAACAACCATGTACAGTTTTTGAATAAACCTAGATAATGAGTTAGAAAAACCTTTTAATTTTTCTTTGGCATTAATGAAGTATTTTTGAACTAATTACACCCCCCCCCCCCAAAAAAAAAACAAAACAAACAAAAAAACACTTAATTAAAGCTGACTCTTATTACCTAACACACACAACAATATAAACATGAAATCTTGATTATTCTGTGCAAATTCATAGCAATCATTTCAACCGTAGCATCAACATTAGTACCATTGTGTCTGAGGACTGTCACTCATCTTCATTCATTGAAACATTTTCTGTTTGTGTTCAGTGATGTCCACAAAGCTTCTGCAGGGTCTTTAGCTTCCATCTTCTCCTCCATGGCCATTTGCCCCACAGAGCTGGTGAAATGTCGCCTACAGGCTATGCATGAAATGGAGGAGACCGGAAAGGTTGCGAAAGGACAGCGAAGGTCCGTTTCATCAGAGATGTTGTAATAAACAAAGCATTTTCAGTTTCAGCTGACTTCACCTTTCCTTTTTGTATTTGTGGGGGACATTAGCACCGTCTGGTCTGTGGTTAAGACTGTGCTGAGGACAAATGGTCCTTTGGGTTTCTACCAGGGACTCACCTCAACCATTGTCAGGGAGATACCTGGTTACTTCTGCTTCTTTGGTGCCTACGAAGTATGTCGGACTACATTTGCACACCATATGGGGACAGACAAAGACAGTATAGGTAGGTTCATTTAATTTTATTTTTGATGCCTGTGCTTCAAAAATGAAGCACAGGCAGCTACCCTGTAAACTTACATCTTTGTTTGCAGGCATTCTTCCACTTATGTTCAGCGGTGGATTTGGAGGGGCTTGTCTTTGGCTAGTGGTCTATCCAATAGACTGTGTGAAGTCTAGGATCCAAGTCTACTCTTTAGCAGGGAGGCAAGAGGGTTTCATGAAGACCTTCATGGGTATTATACGCACTGAGGGTAAGCTTTGAGGATGCAATGTTTGCCCACTTACAAATGCAGTTACCAGTTGTAGGATACTGGGCATGGCTGATGGCTATCACAGCAAATCACCAATAGAGACATCATCACACGCTTCTCTTGAAGTTAAGGAGATACTGTATGACAAACACAGTCAGTTGTTGTAGTCTAAAATATCAAGAGCTAAAATTAAGCCCCAAAACACTGAGAACCACAAACATTTAACAGTAATGCTGAACATTTTGCATTTACAGCTTTGCTAATATAGCAGATGTTTGTGGCATTTTTCAATATATTTTCAAATATTCATGTGCAGAATGTCATGACTGCATGCTATCCTAAACACTAACTTAACTTAATTGTGCTAGCTAACAGCAAAGCTAACTTACAGGCTAAATGACTGATGAAACTCATTTCAAACACTTCCTGGAGTTATGAGGATACTATCTCACTGTAAGAGTATTGTACAGGTTTTATTGTTTGTCGGACAATTTAAAACTTTTGCATTTCATAGCCACTGTTTGACTGTTTCTGCCTTACAGGTTTCACTGCTCTGTACTCTGGTTTGACTCCTACCATGATCCGGACCTTCCCTGCCAACGGAGCGCTCTTCCTAGCTTATGAGTTCAGCCGTAAATTTATGATGGACACAGTGGGTGCCTGATAGGAATGATACAAAATGTGTTGTCAAAATAATTTTAAATGAAGTTTTAAAACAAATATTCATGTCATGACTTCATATTTTTTATTTGGTATGAACATGTAAAAAAAAAAAAAATCATCTAATCAATAGACAATTAGAACAAGTCCAATGATTGTCTAACTGTAGCAAAACTGAAGGATCAAAGTGACTAAACAGTTCAACTCTTCTGCCTTCATAAAATGTCAAAACTCTACAAATGTAAACTCCTCTAATGGAATACTTGCATAGACCTAATCTTACTTGCAAACTATGAAAAGTTCTAATGGAAAATGGCATGCTTTTGAAACAGGGAAAATATCTTGCATTGTGCAGAGCCTAAAAATGATGTTTTTTGTTTAAAAGTACATCTTTGTGTAGCCTTCTCAAGTTATATTTGGAAAAATCTTGGAAAAAGGCAGCCATTTGGTTAAATAACCATCAACAAGTGTTAGCGGCTCATCAAAACCTGGAGTTGTGTCATTTAGCTGATTTTTAAAATGATGTCTAAGATTAACATCATTGGCGATCTTGCCATAACGACATATCTATAGTATTCAAAGTCCATTCTGCATGAAGGAAGAAGGATTTTTATAAATTGAAAATCATTTATCATTCATTCCAGGAGTAGAAAACACAAAGGTTGTTGTGCAATGCTCAAAGAAATTTCAAAAGAGACTCAAACTCTGTTTCAGAGTAGTTTGGCTACTACATGGCTGAGGCCTGTAGTTTGCCTACAGGCCTCAGCCATGTTGAAGGTAAAAAAAAAAAAAAAAAAAAAAAAAAAAAAAAAAAAAAAAAACTGAACTAGCGTGGCTTGTTTAGCAGGTTTGTCAGGATAAAACCATGTCCATCTTCTTGACTGCTTTTAGATATGGATGACACCAAAGTGAAGATGTGCCGATAATGCACAGTACAATGTTTACAGACAATAAAAGCGAAGACAGGATACTGGCAAAAAAAAAAACTTAATTGTTGCTTTGGACTTGTTTCACAAACACAGGTCATCAGCGTCTTGAAGATTTTGAATTTACTATATTTTATTTTAAATTAAAATAATGCGAAGTCTTTATTGTTTAGTAAAATATTACTGTTTGGGGCGGTAAGAGGGTTATACATTTAAAGACAAAATATAATAATTTGAGAACCTTGTTTATGTATTAAAGTGAATCAGTAAATGTAACATAATCAGCCCAAGGTAACCAAGTGGCATGCTTAGCGTCAACGGGTTTTATTGAATTTCCCATTTAAGCCTTCTTACTTTCTCTGTGAACAATACGAATGTGGTTATCACACCCCTCATGTTGTGAAAAGGCTGTATTTCCTTTTTGCAGTCGATGAAAAAGACATTAGCGAGAAAGTAATAAACCTCTGTAAGTGATTTCTGTGGAAGGACTTAATTTTTTTCTCGCTAAAGTGAAACGAGAGAATCGACACGTTGTCTCACCACATAAAGCCTCATGTTTCAGGACTTTATTATTTATTCATCACCTGCAGTCAACAAGCGACAAACTCCTGCTAGGGCAAGAAGATAATAGGATACCAAGAGGTCTGAATTTGGAGTTCTCAACTGCGGGAGGCATGCAAAGGCTGGATGCACTGTGGTTCGGGTTACCACAGCAATAGATTTGTATAAGGCAGGATAAGAGAAATGGATAGACCACACCCCACAGACAGAGGAGGGAAGTAAACAAGAGTGCTGCTGCAGCTCCAAGCGCCAGACTCTTCTCCAATGATCTCAACAACATCCAGCACAGTGGAGATGGTTACTCCACGCAAACTTCAGATCAGTGAAGAAAATGTTGAAGGTAAGTGCTTTTTTAAGATCTTATCATGTTGTAGGTTTGAAATGTTCATTAACTCCAAATGAGTCCTAATGAGGGGGATACAATGAATTATTATTCTGAGGCAAAACGTCTGCTTTTAGTATTTTATTGTATTAAACTTTTTTAAAGTATTTTTTTACATTGTAGTAGATGTTATTATTAAACTAATAAATATGGGTTTTGAAGACTAGTATTCTAGATCACCATTCATTGGCTGCCATATTTCTCACTAGCTCTACCCTCACTGACTGAAGTGATTTCTTTTCATCTGTAATCCAAATTAATATTCTGTGTTGAAAATTTAGCTTGGATAAATATGTAAATTTTTCCAGTTATGATTGCACAGGAATTTTAAATTAAACTATGGAAGTACAATTGTATACAGCACCTTTATGAGTTGAGCATACAAAGTGCTGTGGTTGAGAGAATAAAACTCACTAAACACAAAAAAAATCACTAAAATTGGTTAAATAAATGCAGTTAAAACTGTTTATGGCCTAGTCAAGTCAATTTGATCAATTAAACAAGTCCAACCCAGTCTTAATTAGCACATTACCTGTAAAATCAAGAAAGCATTTGACTAAACCCTGTATGACAACATGAAGTAGTCCTCAAGATATCAAAAAGCAACATATATGTACCTAGATCTTAAGAAATTCAAAAGAGATGAGAAACAGATCCTCCTTGGTGTTACTAGAAATCATTTACAATGATGTATCAGTTGGTTTGCGAAACATGTCTTGATTCAGACAACCTTTAGGTCTACATGGTTTCCCTGTGAGATTAATTACATCATTAGTTACAAATGAGATGTGTGAATTTACTGCAGCCCTTACCTGACAGCAAGGATGTTCTGTGTTCTCCCACTGGATTGTACTACTTTCTAATCCACCATCAACAATCTGACGACAGGAGACGTGTATTTTCATGGCTTATTTAACAGAATCTAACTTTAACGAAGCAGACGCTTCCCATTTTACTTTGAACTTCTGTCTCTTCACAGATAAAAATGCGGGGAGGTTGGGATGTTTTGGTTGGCTGCTGGTAATTATATCCCTCCTATTTATAGCGCTAACCTTCCCAATCACATTGTTTCTGTGTGTCAAGGTAAGAAAATGTTCTTATTCGTTGCTGATCAGGCTGCATGCAACAGATCAATATAGTGGAGGGTAATTGTGAGCTGGAAGGGAAATAATACATACATGTCTTCCATTTTATTTTTACAAAAAATAAAAACCTTAGAGTGGCATGCATTTGTTTTTAGAGCCCTTTACTTGGATACTCCTAAATGAAATCTGGTGCAACCAGATAATCCTATCTTCTCGGAGGATTTTTAGATCAATTCAGTGAACAAAGTGTATAAGGAAGAGCAAACGGGGCAAACAGGACACCGTTGTTCAGAGGTTTAGAGCAGGATTAGATCATAGAACATGTAAAAACCTAAAGTGACAAGTCAAACAAGGAGAGCATTTACCAGAAAAGAAACCAAGAGGGTCATCTCTAGAGGAGATGTGTTGATTAACAACTCGGGTTCATGAAAACAAATCCAGCCTTTACAAAACATTGGAAAGACGAAAACGATTGCTGAAAGATGAAGACGAAGAATTTTGGCCTAAATAATAATAATAAAAAAGAACTTTATACACTATCCACAGTGAAAATGTTGTGGCAGCATTAATGAAAGATGGATGGAGCTAAATACGGTATAAAATGCATACTTTTTATTGCAATCTGACAAAAATGTGAAAAAAAGTCTAAGGAATGTGAATGCTTCTGGAAGATGTAAAAGACGTAAAAACTTTTCCCGGAATGATTTTGCTCTCAACATCGTTTGCTTTCATTGGTGTCCAGATAGTAAAGGAGTATGAGCGAGCGGTCATTTTCAGACTTGGGCGAATCGCTGATCGGAAACCTAAAGGACCAGGTTTGTGGTTTTACATGATGGATTGTACACACCATATCATCTCAGAAACTGATTTTCAGAAAAGAGTTGAGCTTGGAACTGATGCAGTCTCATGTTTCTCTCTTCCTAGGCCTATTTTTTGTTTTGCCCTGCACTGATAACTTTGTGAAAGTTGATCTAAGGACTGTGTCTTTTGATATTCCTCCACAAGAGGTGCGTTTTCCTTTTGTACATAAAATGTAAAGCCAGGACGTGTTTCCAATAAACCTTCCAATGTACTGTTCATTTGTGTCTTTCACAGATCCTGACCAAAGACTCGGTCACCGTGTCCGTGGATGGAGTTGTCTACTTCCGCATTCACTGTCCCATCTCAGCTGTGGCCAACGTGTCCAACGCACACTCATCCACACGGCTGCTTGCTCAAACCACTCTGAGGAATGTTCTTGGCACCAAAAACCTTGCAGAACTTCTGTCTGACAGAGAAGGAATTTCAGTGAGCATGCAGGTTAGAGCAAACACTGAGGCAAACGGTCAATTGTGCTGAAATGAAATAGAATCCCATGAAAACATAGTGATTGTCTCAACGTCTAACTGTAAGATTTGCTACGACTGACCAACATAAAATAATAATTGTGAGGCGTAAGAAAAATGATATAATGCAGGGCTTTCAAAATTTTGTACAAATCTAAATTCATTTTCCATGTTTGCTGTAATCTCAACATAGCTTGTGGCAAACTGCAAAGGGGGAATTCTTTCTTTACACTATTTATTTTTTATTTGTAAAACCCGTGAATTGTTTTCCTTCCACTTCATAACTATTCACTGCTATGAGTTTGTCGACCACTAAAATCTCAGAAGAGGGAAATATTTTGTAGTTGCCTGAGAAAATGTGAAAAAAAATGTATTGAATGCTAACATTTGCGAGTATGTATGCAGTTTGTAGCAGCCTTACAAATATCTTTACTGAAAATATTTTGAATAATTTATTCTGAGTTTGCAGTACTTCTGAAATGAAGCTGAAGGAGTGTTTGTTCTTATACAGGAGGCCCTGGATGAAGCCACCGACCCATGGGGGATCAAGGTGGAGCGCGTGGAGATCAAGGATGTGAAGCTGCCTCAGCAGCTGCAGAGAGCCATGGCGGCAGAGGCGGAGGCCAGTCGGGAGGCCAGGGCTAAAGTGAGAGTGGAAGGATTTACTTTCCACATCACTAAAAATAAAAATAAAAAAAAAAATTGGAGGAAATGTTTGCAAGACTGATCAGATCATTGTTTGTGTCTATTTCAGATCATTGCTGCAGAAGGTGAGATGAACGCTTCCCGGGCTCTGAAAGAAGCAGCTCTAGTCATCGGTGAAGCCCCGTCTGCTCTCCAGCTGCGATACCTGCAGACTCTCAATGCCATCGCCGCGGAGAAGAACTCCACCATCATCTTCCCTCTGCCCATAGACATGATGCAGGGTTTCATGCAGAAAAAGTGATGAACCCTGTAGTCTGCGCAATTATTTTCATCCCAAAGTAAGTTTGCATGTTTCGAATAGGGAGGAAAAAGAGCTACTTGCTAACGCAAATACAAACCAAACACTGTTTTTGTGTACTTATTATGCTTATTGTGATTTAATAATTAAATACAAAGTGCAACATACACAGCCATAGCCTCTCGTTATTAACCTCAGCTAAGTTACAGTTTCAGTAGAGGAGGGCGAATGAAGTAGGCAAGAAACAAAGACAATTCACAGCAAACTTATAACGACATGCTTTCATGGAGACTTCTCTGGAGTATCTGATTACAATCATTTTTAACAACAATCCACAGAAGTAACGACATCCATGTGATGCAGCGACCTCTCTCTGATATTGCATGTAAACTGTAAACAAAAGCTTTTACTCTTATTCATTCAGTAAATGTGTACAAGACGGTGTCCACAGGACACAGAGGCAATCAGTGCAATTGGAGTACCTGATGTAGAGAAAGGCAACTTCCACTGTCGGAACACAGCAAATCCTCTTCCCAATAAACGTAACTATTTTATCTACTGTTAAACGCAGCTACAGCCAAATACCTGCTTTAAACAGGTTTACACACTTTACGATAGATGAAATGTATAAATTAAATACTGTGATGCTTAAAGCTGCAGTAGGGAGCTTTTATGTTATTTTTTTTTACATACTTGTTAAAACTGTCACATGACAGTATAACATGAGACTGATAATCCGGGAAACAATTGAGCTCCTCCGTTTTCTCCCTGTGGTCCTGCAGCCATCTGCAGTAATACACCGCTTCCAGTCAGAAACAACCAATCAGAGCCAAGACGAGGGTCTTAATTCTGTCAATCATGCTTATGTATGCACTGCTCAATGGGAAACAACTTACTGTTGCAGAAAGAACATTCATTTGTTGTCATCAGTGGCCATGCTAACCAGCCTTAGCTTTCATGGCAGGCTCCAGTGTGATAAACTGGCTGAGAGCAAGGGGAGCGCGTGAGCCGCATATACACAAGGGTGATTGACAGTGGTAAGACCCTCCTCCTGGTTCTGATTGGTTGTTTCTGACTCAGTGGTGTATTTCTGCAGATGGCAGTAGGACAGCAGGGAGAAGGCAAAGAAGCTCAATTTTTCACAGATTGCCTGTCATGTTTTACTGTAATGACAGTTTTAATATACATGTAAAAAAAAAAAAAACAACATATTGTTTCTAAATGTTAAACACTGCAACTTTAAGTAATGAGTTTTTTCTTAGACCTTTTTGTAATATTTCTACCTACTGCTAACATCTAAATGCCTGTGTAAGAGAAATATTTAGCAAGACAGATTTCTGATGGCTGGTTGCCGTATGTAAACATGAACAAATAAAATAAATGAAATTTAAATAAAATAAAAACCATGGCAGTTGCTTCCCTTTGATGACTTATACATTTTCTCAAATCCTGAGCTTAATCCAAACAATGAAAAATGAGGTAAGATTGCATCAGATGTTCATTTCTTGCTTCTAAGTGACTCAGGAAATGTTGCAAAACCGGAACACAAGCTGCAGATATGATGGAAAGACTTCATAATTAGTTTAACTGTTCGAACTGTACATACGGAAATATGAAGAACATGGAACAGAGCGCAGAAAAGATAAAGCAAAAACTGTTGCTGCTGCAAAAGGATTCATACCTCTTAAACTTTTCAACAATTTATCACGTTGCAACCACAAACTTAAATGTTTGTTATTAGGACTGTATATGATAAACCAAATTAAAGTAGTGCATAATTGTAAAATAAAAGGAAATTGGTAGTTCACAAATAATAATAACAAAAAAGACTTCTGAAGTTAATATGTGATTTAATCCCATCTAAATACAGGTAATTGGGTATTAAAGTTAAATTTTCTTGAGATCTCAAGAAGTTTTATCGTGGTCAAATAAAGGTTGAATAAAGAAAAAAACACCATTTCCACTGTGGGAATACAGTGGTAGCAGCATCAAGCTTATCAGAGTTGATGTGAAAATGAATGGAGCTAAATTAAGGGCGATCCTGCTGGAATGTGAACAGGTTCCAACAGGACAGTAACCTTAAACACATCCCCAGATTTACGTTGCAATGGTTTAGATGAAGGAATATCATATGCTTTTTGGCAAACTTTTCAGCTTTCAGCTCATGAAATCCAAATAAAAACATTCAAGCTTGTGTTTGAAACATCCCAAAATGTTAAAAAAAAAAAAAAAAAAAAAACCCTCAAGGGGCTTCTTGTGAAGTATGAGTGTTCTTCATTGAGTTCCAAGCATGTAACTGATGCAGTGTGTTATAGTTCAAGAACTTCATCTTTGGTGGTTTTATTTTGTGTGAGTTGACTACCTTTTCTTTAATTCAGCTGAGAGTGAAGGTTTCTTCTTCTCCAAAATATCTTGAAGTGCTTCTTTCTAATTCTTCTCATCATACATACATACATGAAATAATCTGAAAATCTGTTCTAATCGGAAGACAACCCATGCTGTAAAGATAGTCATACATCTACAGAGTCTACACAAGTAATAACTCATAATATACTTACACTGTATTGGCAGTAAAGTGGAGTTATGAATGGTTTGAGGTTAGATGGCTTGGTATAAATCATACACTCATGATGAATGAAATGTTTCTACATGAAAATGTTGAGATCTGAGGTTGGATTTTTCTGATAATACTGCCAAGCCCCCAGGTGGACCTTGCTGGTGGGAGGGAATGGATGACAGAAGGCGCTTCATGTTTTTTGAGTTTACTATGTCTTATTTATCCATCATCCTGAGAGCTGAAGGAGAAGAGGGAAATGTAGATGGAGGCGAAAACATGTAAATGAGGCACTGCGATGCTCTCTGAACTTTCACCTGCTGGAGAAACATGCTAAGGTTTTACTCTTTGTGGAATCATCTGTACAATTCATGAGGTCAAAGAAAACAATAAAAAAAAATAAAAATAAAAAATGTGGTTTGGAAATGCATCAAATGGGTAAGGAGATTCTCCCCAAACAAACAGAACATATTACTGTCTCTTTGTCCACTGATTGTATAATATTCCTTTAAAACAGAGGAAATTTTTTTTTCAGAGTTAAACAAAAACACTGATAAAATAAGATGTTTGGTACAAACAGTCACTGGTGGTAGGAGTGGGGGCGGGCGGGCGAGCCCGGTCCAGAGGCTGGGTGGTGGATGGGGGAGGAGCTGGGGGTCATGTGTGGACTCAGCTCGCCTGTCTGCAGACGCCACAGGAGCTCTTCGTTGGTGCGACTCAGACGCTTCTTCTCTTTGCTCTCCATCTCCACGTGCACCTGCAGGTTGGCGTTCTCTTCAGAGAGTTGCCTGAAGTAGAAAATGGACAAAAGAACATGAGAGAAATGTAATTCATTTCGATAACTACAGTGTTCATGCCCCTTAAACTTTTAACACTGTTGTGATGTTAAAACCACAAAAGTATGTTTAATTGAGATTTTATGTGACATCTATTACTGAAGTGACAGTAAAATGTCCACAAAGTGCGGCATGCATCTCTATTCACACTCATTTATTTTCGATACTTTTTAATATAATCTCTGGAGGAGCTTCAGAGATTCTCGGCACAGATAGGAGAAAAAAAAGAGAGACAAAAAAAGTCTCGTTTAGTCAGTGTCAAGCCAAAAAAGGGACAAAAGGAACTTTTTGGTCTATATGTAAACAGTGTGTTTGTCAGAAAGCTAACACACACACACCACCCACAATATAACACCCCCACTGTAAAACATAATGGAGGATTGGTGTCATGCTGCTTTTTTTTTTTTTCTTTTTTTTTTTCTGCAGAGATAAAAAAAAAGCTACAGATTACAAAAGACTTGAGACTAGCATTGAGGTTCACCTTCCAGCTGGACAACGACCTGAAACATGCAGCAAAGGATGATTTCAATCAAACTATTCTCATGTGTTGGAAGGGCCCAGTCAAAGTCCTGAATTTGTAGCAAGACCTAAAAACTGATGTTCACAGATGTTCACCCTCCAACTTAACAAGAACTATTTTGTTATGAAAAACCTGCAGAAATTTGGTTTTAGAAGTGGAAAAGTGGTAGAGACATATGTCAAAGAAATTGCAGCAGTAACTGTAGCAAAAACTGACTCCTCCATGAAGAAGTTTCAGACTTTTCAGTTTTTAACTTTATGGTTGTGAATGTTGAACTCAACCTTATTACCTATGTATAATTTAAATGCACACACAAACAGACCTGGACACAGCTAGATTCTTGTCTATCTGCTCTCTCAGGTCTTCGTTCTGCTGCTGCAACACTTGCAGTCTCTCCTCCAGGTGCACATTCTTTTCAGCCTGCTCAAAAACACAGGAGGAAACAACGCAAAACATTAAAGTCTTTAAAATGAGTTAAAGCAGTAGAATCCATTGAATAACATAGATGGTAATGCCATTTGATTTTACAGTCAAAAAGGTAACGAACGTAATCACCACGTCATTTAGACTATTACTATTTGACTGTTCTTGCAAGGATAGAACTGTATAGCAATTTAATCAAATTCAAATATATCTTTATGTTTAAATTAATATTACAAAAAGAATTATGAATAAAACACACAGAAGTCATTGCGGTTACTTTACAAAATATCCTGAATAAAAGTTGAAGCATACTATTTTCTCCAGTTCGGAAATCTTCAGCTCCTGTTGATGAATTTGTTGATTCTTCATCTCCAGAACTTCTTTAAGGCTCTTCAGGTCCTCCTCAATATGCTTATATGGAGCCAACGCATCCTGAAAGAGAAGCGCTGTTCGTTCTGCAGGTATTTTCAGAGCCGTCAGTGTGTTGTAGCGTTCTGCTTCACGAAAACTTACAACTATCTGCTCATCTGTGCTCTTCCGAAGAGCTTCTTCAAAGCGTTTTGCTCGATCTCTCAGGCTGCGGTTCTGAAACGTAAGCGTGTCCACCTGATCCTGGAAATCAAACGCACACAAATCTGCAAGGGATTTGTTTTTTCCGGTGGTGTTGCTAAATTTTACCTTCAAATAAAAAACACATACCTTGAGTGAAAGTCTGATTTTCTCAAACTCTTCCTCTAGAGACTTTTTCTGTTGTTCATGAGCCATTTTCAGATCTGTTAACAGACATAACATATTATCGTCTCAAACTGAAGAATACACACACAGAAGAAGTTATTAAAAGTGCTGCTTACTCTTTACTGTCCTTGCGTGCTCCTCCTGCAAAGTGTCTAAAGTGTCATTGTGGGCCGTCTCCATCTCTGTCAAAGATGTCTCATGATTCTCTGTCATCTCCTCAAGCTACAACAAAAATGTTGAAACATTTTTCAATTTTGTTTTCAACAAAAAGTTCTTCATTTTCAGTTTTCATGCCAAATGATTAAAATCCTGAGCAGTCCTAATGTTTCTGCATGCTGCACCTGCTCCTGGTGTCTGAAACGGAGCTCCTCCAGCTCAGCTCGCTGATGGGCCTGCAGGCTCTCGGTGTCCTCTGCGTGCCGAGCCTTCAGCCTCTCCTCCAACGCTCCCAGTTCGCTCCGCTGCTGAGCCCGCAGCCCCTGCAGCTCGGCCTCAAAACGCCGCTCCTGGTCCTCCTTCTCCTGCTGCAGCTGCTCCCAGTGCGCGACACTAACAGCTGGAAAACATACAGAAACATACATACAGATACAAAAGTCAGCGAAACTGACTTCAGGTTTGCACCTCCTCTTTTCTCTGAAGATGCCATCTACCGCGTACATGTTGGGAGTCCGGCTCCCTGAGGTTTCCCACTTACCCACTTCATCCCTGATTCGGCCGAGCTCCAGGGACAGCTCCCTCTCTTTTACAATGGCGCTCTCATTCTGGAATGAAACAAAACATGACACATTTAAATGAGACTAACTGATGAGCATTTTACAAGGCAAACTGCAAAATGAAAGAATTTTATTTCCATCATGTTCAGCATGATGGATAATGGTCGAGACATTGGCTGGAAGATAAACTTGGAACCTCATGGGGCTCTGCCTGTCACAGTTTTAGCTATTTTAAACTTACATTTATTGCTCATTTAGGTGAGAGACTAACAGGAAAAAGTGATGTTAAAAGTTGCTGTTCCAGATCTAACAAGAACAACAGATTTGAAAAAAAGATAATCAAAACCTGATTTACTTTAAAATATTGCTAAAAATATATTGTCAGTAATAACATAGAGATAATCAGATCATGTAATTATCTGATGATGAACAGCGTTCCAGTAATAAACTTCTACCTTTTTTATCAATCCTATCTGTAAAGATATTGCAAATATCTGAAACATTTCAAGCTATCTACAACTGTAAGCATTTTCTGATAGGTATGGGGCTTGCATTAAGCTTTTTTTCAATTAGCTAAACAGACCTAAGATGCATTGCGCCAATATGGGGCAATTAGGACGTTTTTGTAGAAGTTATCATCTTGCAACACGTTTGTACGGCACACACCTGTAGGTGTTGAATGAACCAATAAGCTTTTTTTAACAGAGAGAGATAAAAGATGGCAACCAGACATCTGATCATAATTAATGTGAAAACTCTCTAATCCAAAAATAACTCAACAATGCTGAAGAGAGAAAGACTCAGAGGGGAACAAAGTGGGACTTTTAAAAAATGCATGAAATGGTCAACACTATGTCCCAGTAGAAATGATGTCATCATCTAAGAGATGCAGCAGAAAATCGTCACTAAGAGACAGACTGATCTCAAGAGGGATGAAACATGTTCAGCATCATTTTATACAAAGAAGCTCCACCCGTCCTCCAGGTTTCTGCTCATCAGTTTTTTTTTTGTTTTTTTTTGTTGTTTTTTATTTCCTGCCCAGCAAAGTAACTTAATCTAATTTAGAAATGCAACTATTGAGTATTTATGTATGTAATAAAATTGTTGATTTAGATTATATTGTTTTGTAGTATCAAAAGAAATCTAGAATAAAGTGTGGTAACAAGCTATTCCTTTAGCAAAATAGAAAACCAATAAATGTTTATGTAACGTTTCAGGGAGAAAAAGTTACATTTTACATTTATTTTTGTTAATTTTTACATATGTCTGACTCAGTATACTTGGTGGAGTATTTCTTTTTTACATTGTATAGTGTAAAAACTAGAATACGTTTCTGAAAAACACAAAATCGAGTTAAGTAACTTGAAGCAGTCATTTATTCCAAATTAAGTGCAGCTTCAGTTTCAGTGGTGTAGCTGCTTATTTGGTGGGAGTTTTTGTCTTGTAAAAATTTAAAGGCCAGGAAGAACACTGGAGGTTGCAAGAAATCTTGAATTTTTGTTAAAGTTGAAACTTTCATCCAGAAGTCATTGAAAAACTGCTGTGTTTTGCAACAGTAATTATATTCCTTGAACTTTTGCTACTCCCCCTCCCCACCCCCCACAGTATAACAACTGTTAATTTGGGTTTTCAGGATTTTGTGTTTGACTAAAACAATGTAGTGCAGAATTACTAATTTGAAGGAAAATGATACATGGTTTTCAGATCCTATTGCAAATAAATATCTGAAAAATGCCAAGTACATTTGTGTCCAGCTGTCTTGATAGTTTAATTCCCCTAAAAATACATGCAATCAATTATGTGGGAAGTGGAATGACGTTTCACATTTTGACAGAAAAGCAAGTTTACAATGGAGGAGTTGTATCAATCCTATCTTTAAAGATAGGATTGTATCAATCCTGCCTTGATTGGATTGATACAATCAAAGTATATTCACATGTTAAAATGGCCTAGTCAAGGTCTAGCACTAAATCAAACTGAAAATCGACCACTGTTCAAAGCTTTTTATTTTTGGAAAAATAAGAAGAAGAAAAAAGAAAATCACTTCACAGTCTTATAATTCTCTACAACCTGGTGCTAGTCTACCACATAAAATCCCAATAAAATACATTGAAGCTCTAAAACGTGTGAAAGTTCAAAGAGTGTGAATACTTTTGAAAGGTATTGTGAGGACATTACTGTATCAAAACATGTAAAAGTTACTTAAACAAAATGGGCAATATAGAAATCCATCCAAACAATTTTAATTGACAGAGGAGAGGCATTGACACAGCACACAGGAACCTAATCGATAGATGCATACACACACAAACACACGCACACACACACTTCCAAACACTGAAATTATTATATCAGAATGAAGCACAGCTGCAAAAATTATTCCATGCCGTCTTCCTGGAAACTCAGGCAGCTTTGACTCAGCACAATCATCCCCAGCTCCGTGCTCTCTGCCGGCTCTGTCGCTAGGAAACAAGTGAACATGACGATCATACGCATTCAGACTCCCACAGCACCAAACACACACGAGCTCAGCTACAAATGCATCAAGGAATCCTCGGTGCAGGAAAAAACAAGCTTACTGCCTGCAGAAGACACTGCCTTTACCGTTTGGTCCAGACAGCAGAGAGGGAGAAAATGAAGCCTGCAGCAGCAATGGCCCATATTAGGCTAGCAAACGGCAGCATCCCTTAGCCTGATGGGGAGGCAGCAGGGACAGACGGGAAGTGAAAAGAAAGATGCAGAAAGAATGTCAAAGCAGAGGGGAGGGATGAGGCAGGCGGAGGAGAGGGGAGGAGAAGAGAGGAGAGAAGGGAAAGACCAAAAGCTCACCTCGCTTCTTGGTTTGCGAGCATCATTTCTCCCTGCTGGAACAAAGAGAGCCAGACCCAGCCCAGCTCTGACTGTCCTCCCCTCAACCCCCCACCAACACGCCCCATACCACAGTCATAAGCATGACAGAGAGCAACACACACACACACGCATACACACGCACACAGCATACACAGCATCTTTGAATCTCTGAAGACAGACGAAGAAACAGGGGAGCAACCTGATCGATAAATGCACAGATTTTCAGATTAGAGGGATATAATGGCTTATTTTTTTTCTCTCCTACAGAAGCTACAGAATTACACAACAGCACACATCTGACAAAAAAAAAAAGTCCAAGCCCAGTTTAAAACATTTATTACTTTTTAATCAAACGGGGTTTTTAATTCAATCCAGAATGAGCTAATCTATTTTCTGTATTTGTTTCCCTCCATCTTAAGAAAGCTGGTCATCTATTCTCTGACCAGCTTTCTTGTTACTACGTATAAGCAACACCAAAATTAACCCTTCCCTTTTAACTACTGTATTGATCCGTCATAAAAAATATAAAATACACCAAACGTTTGTGGCTCAATCATGACAAAATGTCATAAAGTTTAGGAGGTAAAAAGGCTTCCATATGGCACTCTAAGCATTTGTATCTATTTAAAGCAAAATACAACTAATCTTCCTTGTCCTACTGTAAATAAATACAAACTTTGGAAAATCCTCAAAGTAGTTTTGATGAGCCCTGATGCTGCAGACTCACGCTTAATGTGAAAAGAGATTTAAAGAAATCAAAGGAACTTCCTTTGACAGTAGCAGTTGGATGTTACAGGTGTCTTTTGAACAAAGGGATGCTGGATGTTTTGTAGTTGTACTGAAGCTCACAGTGGGATTTTCTCAGTTGGTTCTGTCAGACACTATTGGTCAAATATAGTTTAAAACCATACAGTTAAATGGGAATCTAAATGAAAGCAAGTTCAATGATGACACTGTTTACACAATACAATTTGTGCATTGTCCTTATGAAGTGATAATGTGTAATCTCGCTTGCTCCAACCATAGCTTCCTTTAACACAAGAAAACTAATTCAACCAAATTCTTAAAATTATTCTCCAAAAACTAACTTATTTATGTAAAGCTCCTAAATCTTAGACATCACAACTAACTGACCTTATGCAACTTTTTTTTGTGTTTTTTTTTTTCCATATAGAACTGACAGAATCTAGTATTAGCTCTAAAGGCGTATTTATTTCTGGAGAGCCTACCTTATCACAAAAGTGCAGAGTGGTGATGCTGAAAACATCCAGGCACAGAGAGGCCTTCTTCAGCTGGACCTGGAGAGTCTGCAGCTGCAGGGCCTGCTGCTCACATCGCTCCTGCAGCCGCTGGATCAGAGCCCGGTCCACTTCCTGACACCGTCCTGTCCGAGGAACCGCTGCTGTTCGACCGCGAGCTAGGAGCACAGATGACCAAAATGTTATTGCTTAGACTCAGGTGAGAGTCAAAGTAAAAATGATCAGAGGAAATATACTAATCAATGATATTTCCTTGCAACTATGTCCCCCCTTTTCAGATAAAAAA